GGGGGGGGGGGGGGGGGGGGGGGGATGGTATTTAAAAAGATTTATTCACAGGTGTGTCTTCGGTCTCGAGGGACGGCGGCAGATCCGACATGTTTCAAACTGAAGACAGAAACGAGAGACGAAGCTCATAAATACTGAGAAACCGACAATGAGAGGGAAGTACGGCAACCTGCAAGGGTCAAACTTCATCCTGAGGAGGGGGGGGGGGGACAGACGGGAAATCATTCTGAAAACACAGAACAATCACCCTCATTATTTCACTTCCTGTTGAAGAGACGGAGACGTTACTGCGGGTAGAGTTTAAAACTCTATATAAAGTACTCATCGATATACATTTATAATTATATATATATATATATATATATATATATATTATATTGTGTATTTTTAATCGTTAAGTAACTACAGATTTCACATCATATTGTGCAGAAAGATAATTGGAATGAAATGAAATAAAACACAGCTTAAATCAACCTTTTAACAATTAACCCTGAAAATAAAATAACTGTTATTTATGTAGATTATTATAAATTAATTAAGTAAAAACTATTCTCTGTAAAAGCTCAAATAAAAATATATAAAACCCAGAAATAAAGAAATAAATGTTCTTAATTTATTATTATTTATTACATTTGAACAGATTTTGCCAATTTGTCCACCTCTTCCCCTTAATATCATTTATTTTATTTTATTTGTGAACATATTTCCATCTCTTTATAACAATAACTTTAATTAATTAATTGAGTAAAAAGTGTCAGTTCGAATGAAGTAAAGGTGAGTGCTGCCCCCTGGTGGACTAACCGAGAAACTACATGCACAAATGACCAATTAAATCCCCTTTTTTTTAGCTTGAAATATTACAGTAAAATAAACTACATTAAACATTAAAACACAAAGCTTCCTTTTGTTGACACATGCTATAATAATAATAATACATTTTATTTGTAAAGCACCTTTCATTGCTAAAAGTAATCCCAAAGTGCAACAAGGGGCGTAATACAAAAAAAAGAAACACAAGTTTAATCATGTGAGTTTAATCCTCTTTTACAAAGTGTTTAAAGGCACTTCATCGCAACACATTCAAATCAGCATGTACGTGATCATTAATATTATTTATTAAACCTAAACAACTAGAAATCACAGCGTTACGACCTGCAGACGTTAGTGTTTATTCAGAGCGTGAAATCCCTTGACCCAAAACAGGAGAATGAAAGGCTGATTGATCCCACCTGTCTGTATGCTCCACAGGTAAAGGTACGTCCAGGTAGAAG